GAGGCAGAAAGCGAGAAATCACCCCCCAGGGGGGATGGCCACGCCGCAATCCCTTCTCCTCCATTCTCCTCTCAGGATCTTGGGTGCACATGCGCCCAGTGTGAGTTTAAGCCACTGGGTGCAGGACTCGAACCGTGGTCGACTACGTGGGAGTCCAGTGACATAGCCATTACGCTAACTGCTGGTCCCAATCCCACTGGTTCTTTAGAGACATCATTAATCTCTTCTTGGAGGTGTTGCCCCCCGTGACGCAATCACTGTGACCCAAGTGCCACCCCTAGGCCTCACTGCCTCCCAACAGCAAATTCTTGCCTTTTTTTAACCCTAGGTTTTTGGGGTTTTTTTGTTTGTTTGTTTTTTAAAGGTTTTTGCCTTAGGGCACAGGTACTCACTGGAGAGGGAGAGAGAAAGACAGAGACAGAAACAATGAGAGGGAAAGTGAGGAATCACCCTTCTGGGGGAATGACCACGTGGGACCTTAGGCACACACATGCGCCTGGTGTGATTTTCAAACCACGGTCGGCCGGGTGGGAGTCTCGCAACATAACCACTACTCCATGTGTAGGCTCCCCAACAGCAGAGTCGAAAACATGGACTTTTGGGGGACATACAATACCATACATGTAATGTTACTCAGTCTTAAAAAGGCGGGAAATTCCGCACAGCACACCAGCCTGTGAGACACTGCCAAAGCAGCGCTGTGAGGGTTTGTAGCACCGCCTGCTTGTATTAGAAGAAAGCAAGTTCTCAAACTGATGGTCTAGGCTTCAATCTGAAGAAACCAGGGAGAGAAGAGCAGATGACCCCTCGCTGAGCTGCCGGAGGAGACAGTGAGTGAGGGTTTGGAGAGCCAGCTGCGTGCTTGCCGGCCTCACTGCCTCCCAACAGCAAATTCTTGCCTTTTTTTAACCCTAGGTTTTTGGGGTTTTTTTGTTTGTTTGTTTTTTAAAGGTTTTTGCCTTAGGGCACAGGTACTCACTGGAGAGGGAGAGAGAAAGACAGAGACAGAAACAATGAGAGGGAAAGTGAGGAATCACCCTTCTGGGGGAATGACCACGTGGGACCTTAGGCACGCACATGCGCCTGGTGTGATTTTCAAACCACGGTCGGCCGGGTGGGAGTCTCGCAACATAACCACTACTCCATGTGTAGGCTCCCCAACAGCAGAGTCGAAAACATGGACTTTTGGGGGACATACAATACCATACATGTAATGTTACTCAGTCTTAAAAAGGCGGGAAATTCCGCACAGCACACCAGCCTGTGAGACACTGCCAAAGCAGCGCTGTGAGGGTTTGTAGCACCGCCTGCTTGTATTAGAAGAAAGCAAGTTCTCAAAGTGATGGTCTAGGCTTCAATCTGAAGAAACCAGGGAGAGAAGAGCAGATGACCCCTCGCTGAGCTGCCGGAGGAGACAGTGAGGGTTTGGAGAGCCAGCTGCGTGCTTGCCGGTTCCCCTGCAGGCCTTCGCCACCTGCCTCCTGCCCTGGCCGCCTTCCGGACCCTCTCCGTGCCTTCCACCTGTGCGTTGTGCGTCCCTGTATTTACAGCTCGCTCCTGTTCCTGTCTAGTTCCACTGCGTTTCCTCGGTCTGAAGGTTGATGTTTTCCCCACAGCCTAGAAAATTCCCAGCCACATTGTCTTTCACGCTCTCCCTTCTCCGTTTCACCCACTCACTCCCTTACGGGCCTCTGGAGAGGTGTGTATTTCATCTCACTTTCCCCTGACTCCGCCGCGCTTGCGTGCCTTCCATCTACTGTCTGCAGTTTTCTGCATAGCTTCATCTGCCTTTTATCCAGAGTTCATTCCTTCTTTGTTCTGTCTGGTCTCCTAGTTAGCTCATTCTTTTAATATTTTTCAATTTCAATTTCATATTCTAGCTTCCTTGTCTAGAAATTATATCTGGTTCTTTTTCAGATACGTCTGAGTGATTTGAATAGGTGCTTATAACTTTATTATATTGTACCAGTATCTCATTTATTTATTTATTTTCTGAAGTATACTAAGTGTGATAGTTGTATACCTCAAAACTGATCATCCTGGGACCAGCAGTTAGCGTAATGGCTATGTTGCTGGACTCCCATGTAGTCAACCATGGTTCGAGTCCTGGACCCAGTGGCTTAAACTCACGCCGGGCGCTTGTGCATTTCTCCCAAGAGGAGAAAGGAGAAGGGATTGCGGCACGGCCATCCCCCCTGGGGGGTGACTTCTCACTTTCTGTCTGTCTTTCTGTCTGTCTCTCTGTCTGTCTGGCGAGCGCACGTGCCCTATAGTGAAAACGTCTCAAAAAAAAAAAAAACTGATCATCCCAATTCTGTAGTCTTTGTTGATCTAACTGCAGTTTTTGTTTCTGCACCTCTTATAAATGGTGGTTTATTTTCTCATTTGTTTTGTGATTTGAAGACTATGCGTAGATATTACCAGCCAAGGGCTCTTCAAACAAAAATTTTGGTGGGTTCCAAATGGTGGAGCAGCAAAACTGACCCATGGAGGGAGGTTCCCGGTTCAAGCCCAGCGAACTCACTGAGTATGCTGGCGTGCCTCCCTGACCTGGGCCTGGCCAAAGGCTGGGGACTGCTCATGGCCTCGTCTGGCTCTCTCTCATTCTCTGTTGCTCATGGAAGAAATAAACTAAAATTTTGGCTAAGGGTCTTTTTGGTTTTACGGGTAGGAAGAATCCTACCTCCAAATCTACATGAATACGGCGTGTGACTCTGCGTCCCTGTGGGAGAACTTTGTCTCTATTTTGCTCTACACAGCGCCAAGACCGAGATACAAGTCCCGTGCGGGCTGAGGCCTTCTAGTTCCCTTTGAAGGTGCCGTCTTTGGGGCTTTCCAGCTTCATGCCGACGCCCCAGCGCCTTCTTACCACTCGGCTCTGCCTGCTCCCCACAGGT